GAACAGGATTAAACAAAAAAAATTTATAAGGCACAATCTGTAAAACTAATCATTAAACAAAACTAAGAAGATTATGAATAAACAAAAATATTTACTCTTTTATAGCCAAATAATGTTTTGCTTTCACTCGTACATAGATACTCGCATGAGCAAACAATTTTTCTATTGGAACTATAACAGCGTATTAACTCAAAAAGAAACAAAAAGTTCAAACAACAAATATATACACCAAGAACAATCTCAAAACTATCAAACGATATAAGGGCCCTCTCATTACAAAATGTAAGTTCCTTAAACTTACAGTTAATAGGCAATTTGAGTTTATCCTTAACATGAGCAAGCAAATTTTTTACATCAATATCTATATCACAGATGTTTACATATGCATACAAAATTACAAAATAAAACAATAAAAACATTAATCTTGAAATTGATATGGTTGTTCTTAAAATTGGTGCAGGCATTTTTATAATTAATTTAATGCAAGACTATCTAAGAATGAACTTTTCTAAGTAAAATGTTCATCCATAAAGACCATCTTAATTGAATTTGTTGGCCTTATAGAACTCTAGGGGGATTTGAGGTAGAAAAGAAAAAAAGACAATATACATGCAATGTTGAGAGTCAGCAAAAAAAGGGAGAAAACTATTAAAGTGGAGTGCTTGAATGTTCGTAAACTAATCCAACGGCACCAAACCCAATTACACCTCTCTATTGCTTAAAAAGGTTCACATTAACTATTATGTTATTTTAAATCAGTATGGTGTATTTATACAAAATCACATAATACTATGTAAACTAGAAAGCAACCAATTCTATGGGACATAAAAATCATAAGATACTGACAATATGTAGTTTCATAGTCTTTACATACAGAATAACATATTTTGCTACCAATCAATTGTTTTTTCTTCTTTTTCATTAGACACAATTAGAATCAAAAGTCAGTCTCACTTAATATATGCCATAAGAGCATCCTCACCAACTCAAATTTGTATTCTTAGCATTCTTGTAAATCCACCGGCTCTATCTCTGCAAGCTAAAACCATCAAGCTATTACAAACACAACAGAACTCCAATAATAATAATAATAATAATAATAATAATAATAATAATAATAATAATAAAGTATAATAAAATGAGCGTGACTACAATGAAGAAACTCATATTCAATTGTATCTATATGCCAGTTCTATTAGAATTTACAAACCATAAGCATTACCTCTTCAGGTATGAGATGTAACACCCTAATCCGTCCAGGTCTGCAGCCCTTTTTGGACTAAAGTATAAACTTGGTATTCGTAAACATTCAAAATATTTCAAATATTTAAAACTTTATTTCATAATAAATAATTCAAAACAGTAACGGAGTAATTTAATGTTGCGGAAGCTTAATAAAACATAATACAAACATAATTAATTTATGTCTTTTCAACAGTAATTTAAATGCAAAACACACATCCGTCCGAAATCATTTCTTCATTCTTTTTGTTTACCTGCGTGTAGCAAATAAAACATACTACACGCTCAGCGTTTAAGCTGAGTAAGCATATCTAATGCGTCGAATATCCATATAAACTAAATCTAAATTCATAATCAAACCCATTTGATATCATGCACATAATGTTCAGTTCAAGTACTCAATAATCATAAGTCAATATTCAACATTCATTATATTATTTTCACATTTTATCCGTCATTCATAATAACCACAATATTCAATTCAATATTTATTCATATTCAATATTCAACAATATCCTTATACTATACTTAGTTTAAGGCCAATCACTTTAATATTTGTCAACCCTTAAATGAATTCTAGTTTAAATTATTAAACTATATTCCAATATAAAATACTCCTAAATAATCCTTAAGCTAGGCCTAGTTTAAGATAAAAGGGTTTTGAAAATCTTAAACTTACCTCCACTTAAGGCCAACCAGAAACCGACAGCGTAGTGTTCACTGTTGGGTGGGTGGTACCCCCAAACGAGTAGGTACTCAAATTTGGTTCTTGGATCCCGTACGTACGTTTTAACCCTAGCCACCGGGATTCATACCCACAAGGCCTAACTTAAATAGGTATATCTTCGAGGTCTTCTAGATACCTTTCAATTCAACATTAATATGGGTATATCTTAGAGGTCTTCTAGATACCCTTAACAATATATTATTTTCACAATCATCAATATATTCATTATGATTAAATCATTCACAATTATCATTTTAATCGGAATATTTATTGAGATTTAATCATCATAATCATCAATCAATAATTATTACCATAATCATTAATCAACATAATATTCAATAACAACTAGCGGCCTAGCTTCGGGTGTTAACACCCTAACTTACCGTCATGCATCACATAACATTTTATTTGTTAAAAATATTACTTTTAATGTGAAAAATCATTTTTACAATGATCATAATCAATTGTTATTAAAAATAGGATTTTAGAGCTTAAAAATAACATTTTTAGACAAATTTTCGGATCAGAAATTTTCGAAATGTTTTCCAAGGTTCAAAGATCATTTTGGCATCATTAATTCATAGTTTTAACATCAATTTAATGGTTTATGATTCTTGATTCTTCAAGCATGTCAAACACAAAACTCAACCAAACGACCGTTTATGAACGTAGAAACGATCTATACGAACATTCTAGTCATTAGATATATCTACGGGCTTACCTCGAAGTGTAATGGAGGTTTTGGAAATTTTCCGGCAAAACTTCCGGCAAGGATTGTGGCTATCTCCGGCGACCTCACACCAATATGACAGCACCACTGCGTTCTCCTCACTCCCAGCAACAGAATAGACATAAAGTTTGTAAGAAATGGTGAGGAATTGAAGGAATGGAGATGACCCTTATATAGCCAAGTGAAGGAGGAAGAAGACACGGTGATGAGCTCTACTTCGACTATTTCGGCGGCTGGGTGGAGCGGGCTGCGATTTCTTTGCATTTCAAACGCAAGTCCCTGATTGGGACTAATTTGGTCCCAGTCGGGGAACACTTTTTGGTCCAACTTTCTCCGAATTGAAATCCCATTGAACCGTTGGAATCGGACAGTCAAACTCTACATAATGATAAAATTTTTATTATTTATTGACCAACTTTATAATTCACATATATTTGGGTCCTTCTCAGTAATTAATTAATTATCAATTAATTAATTCTGATAGGCCTATTTTCAGGGCGTTACATGAGAGGTGCATCAAAAGGATCAAAATACAGAATATGCTGTTTTTTAGACTGAACAAAAATACTCCTATCTATGTTAAGCGCAAATACTCTTATAATATGATGAACACGATGAAGCGACTTAGGATAAGCTCAAACATTTATGCTATGGAAGCTTCAAGAATTTGAGAGAAAGGAAAAGAATCCATTTCTGAGGATTAAACAAAATTAATCTCTTACGAATAAGTCGCTTCCTAAGTTTGAGCTTATCTTTGACATCAGCAAGCAAATTTTTTACATAAATGTCTCGCACATATTTTTACGTATGTATACAAAACTACAGAATAAAACAATATAAACTTTAATCTTCAAATTAATATTGTTGTTCTTAAAATTATTGCAGGCATCTCTATGATTAATTGAATGCAAGACTACCCAAACTTTCCTAACTTACATATTCATCCATGAAGACCATCTCGATTTAATTTGTTGGCCTTATACAGCTCCAGAGAGATTTGAGGTGGGAAAATAGGGGACAATATAAAGGTGTGTTCACGGTCCGTGAAAAAGGGAGAAAACTACTAAAAGTTCTAAAACTGTCGGTGAAAAAAAGGCCCAATTCTAAGGTTTGGTAGAGAAATGATATTCATTAGAAAGTAAACAATGCTCTCCTCCGGTTCTAAAACTTTTTTCTAATTTTAATTTTTTTTATCAATGACCTTAGAATAAACTAAGGAAATTTTTTATGATCTTAGAATAAGAGTAAAAATATCATTTTCATATCAATTGAGATTTTTTACATCAATCCCATTTAGATGAGATCAATTCTGGCTTCCAAATGATTGCAAGCATTTGAATCCATCATAATCACATTCACTACAAACATTATTTTCAGTCAGCTAATTAAGTACGTACATGTGAACCTTATAATTCCGCCATAGCTCATTTGGATTTTCATCTAAGCTTGACTCCCACTATCTTCTCCATCTTCGCCAGCACCGCATGGTTGGGCACCGCCTTCCCGTTCTCGTACTCCTGAACCACCTGAAAAAAGGGAGAAAACTAGTAAAGTGGAGTGCTTGAATGTTCGTAAACTAATCTAAAAGCACCAAATGCAACTACTCTTGCGAAAAATTAATACAAATTATAAAAAAATATACTCTCTACTGCTTAAAACATTCACATTAACTACGACCAAGATTACAAACTTATTATGTTATTTTACATCAGTCTGCTGTATGTATAAAAAATCACTTAATATGAAGTGAACTCTGAGAGCATTATGTTTCCAAGGGACATGAAAATCACAAATTAATGACAATTTGCAGTTTGTTAGACTAAACAAAAATACTTCATCTATCTATGCAAAGCAGTTTTTATAATCAACACTCACTTCAAGAAAAGGATCAAGCAATGACCGATTGACCTCTAGCTAACTCTTTTTTTATATGACCTCTAGCTTTTTTTAAAGAAATATTTGCACTAAATAGCACCAAAACTTAAGTCATTTCCCTAAATAGCACTTAATAATGTCTATAATGTCCTGTGATGACGAATATTTACTTGAATAATGACTAATGCATAATGACTAAAAGTGCTACATTAGGAAGAAAAACACATGTAGTGCTATTTAGGGAAAGTCATTATGTTTTAGTGCTATTTAAGTAAATTCCTCTTTTTTAAAAGCACTTTAGTGTATATGTCCTCAGGCAGCTATTTTCCCAAAAACATAGTGCCACGCAACGAAAGCATACACACAACATATACCTATGTAGAGAAAATTTAGGAAGTATTTGGTGATTTGCATAAAAAACCAATTCAAGACAAATTAACCTTATTCTAAAACCACTAACATATCACACTTGAGATCCACTTCACATTAAAAGTAAAAAATTTGGCGGGCCAAAACTACGACAACATATAAATTTTTCAAAACACAAAATATGCACTTTTTTTTAATATTCTCGGAGTTGGTTCGTTTCTCCTCTTTAGGTGGTGCAAACTGCCTGCTGAGACGGGACTTTGCTCAAGGATCCATGGCTGGTTTTCGTGGTTGCTATGGAGTGAGTGGTTTTGATTTTCTAAGTCCATTCTCTTTGTCCGTGAACCTGCCAATGCAAATTTATCAAATAGAGCTGAACCTTCATATGGAGTAGCATATTTTTAAAATGAATACCACAAACATAAGAAAGAGAGGGATGTTAGTTTCATGTGAAGAAAAGCTTGGATGTGTCTAAAGTGCGATAAGAATTAAAAACAAAGCATGATAAGTTAATGGATTTTATTTTATGAAGAAAGCTCTCAATTCCTCACAATTCCTAATATCTTTATTTGTGTATTTTTTAAGCTGTACTGATATATCCATTTCCTAGTTTGGCGATTTGCCTTGTTTTTTTATATAAACGAAATAAAAGATTGATGTAAATGTAAAGTCCCACCCTATTTATGTCGAGACACACATTGAGTTACATTTAGAAAAGAAACAAAAGTGTAAGATGGAGAAAGTGGAATTGAAACTGAAATTAAAGTATAGCGCTGGTTTCAAAATGCTTAGGAGTGATGTAAAAACGATGGAGAAAAGAGAGTAGTGGTAGCTAAAAGGGGTCCAATATAATGGATTGGGCCCAATGACATCTTACCAATTGTAAATTAGTTTAAATTACAAACAGGTATGTTCACTTAAGTTTGAGCTCAAAAGGGGCCTCATATCAGTCTCCCAACTCATGATGCTTTCTACAAATGTTAATAATACAATGTATGAACAATAACAACAAGGATATATACCTTCATTGCAAAATCTCACTTTCATAGGCCATTCTTTACTGTAGTACTTAACAACAATGTGCTTTCCTTATGAATCCAGAAGAAGGATGTTTTCATTATCTCATGGCAAGAGTCCTTCAATAGCAAAATCACAATTGATCACAATTTCTGCACAATACACATACAATGTGGATTGTAAGTAGAGATTGAATCAATGGTCATATCTGATTTTTCACATATGATAATAAGTCATAAGAAGATTCATACTGACATAAGAAATAAATATTTGATAAATGTTTGGCACACCTTTTGTAACTGACTCAATAAAACTATTTTGAATAGTTAAAAAGATTTTTCAACTGACTCCAAAAATAAATATAATTTTTTATTTTAACTCTCATAAAAAATAATTTTGGAGAGAAGATATTTTTGTCATCCTTACAATTATTCCTACGACTCAAATAAATAAAAAGTCTTCAGAAATCTTCTACTCCTCCGAGTCCTCCGTTAGGCGCTCCGAACGCATCTCGGACTCTAATAAAATATTTTGTGTACATCGTTTTGTTGGAGTTGTGCCCTGATGGCCAACTGTTCATCGTTATCCTATCACGTATAGGCAGATATAATATGTTTACACATCTCATGCTAATGTAAACAAATATTATATTCCTAGATTTATATTTAAAAGATGTTTATCAGATAGTGTTATTCTGCTGATGAGACTAACATCTTGAAATAAATATTTATCTAAATGTCCATAGTCGAATATTAACGAGAGTGGGATATCGTTAATGCATGTGAGACTAGTGTGTGTTGGATGTTTGACTTAGTCTCATGGTCAATGACGGTGTGTTCGCATCCGCACATGGGCAGATATTATCTAGAGATAATAGGATGCCGGACTGACCCATTCTAAAGATGTTGCTTGAATTTTTAGTTCATGCTCTAAGCATCTTTAGCGCGACCA